TAGATTTTTCCTCGATGGAAGGGTAGCTAGTGATTCTTTTTAAAACTTATGACTACAGCTCAAACAAGTGGCACATCCAAGGAAATTAATGAACACAAAGAAAATTCCAAGAATATATATTATTTTAGTTACAAGTATTTTTTCATTGGCTGAAAAGCTGGCAAAACGCGAGCAACCACTCAAATTTCCTTGTCGATATAACTACAGAAAATTCAACACTGAAGAGCTGTAGAATAGTCTCCTTTACGGTTACCTGTGCCATCCATCATTTATGCAATTTGACAGTTTTGGTGGTTTTTCAATCACACAGGAAACATACGTAATAATAATTTAATCACACAGGAATGACACTAATCAATACATTTTTGACATACAGTGATCATAAATGAGAAGTAATAGATACATTTTGACAGTTTTGTAAACAAAGGAATCATAATGTTCATAATGATTTATATCCATTTTTCAACTTCTCAAATTCTTTGCTTATCTTTGCTCTCTGTATTTGTTGACAGTTTGTATTAAAGAGTTTATTGAAGAATAAAGAGTAAAAATCTTTTCAAAATGCATAGTTTTATAAATTAAAACATCCGAGTAGTTTTATGTCAAATAAGATTATTATTGTGGATAGAATGTACACACAATTCACACATAATTTCATTGTCAACAAGCTCATTTAACTGAGAAGTTTTGAAGTGTATCAGGTGAAGATTTTCATATTCAAAAGCAATTAAACCAGATTAAAACTGCCAAAGGTTCTTGAAGTAGAGGAATTGATATAATTTGAGCACCAAAAACCGCTTGCACATAAGTAAGTTTAACATACCACCATTTGTTTAATAACGCCACGGTATCGTCAGAAAATATGTCAGTTCTCCTCTGAGAAATTCTCCATTAATAATCGTTGTCTTTGGCATTCACTTGTTTCTCGATTTGTCTCTCACGTTTTCCCTTTCAAGCCTGCGTTGTTCTTCACTTAGACTTCTTCGACGCTCTCTTTCTCTTCTTCTTGTCTTTTCTTCTTCAGATAAAGATCGCTTTCCGTTAGCTACCCGTTGATTTTCCGACATTTGGCGCAGAAGTAAAGTATTTGAAAGGACAAAAATGGAGTCGTTCCGGTGAAAAAGTTGTTTCAACAATTGACACCAGCGCGACAGTCCGCGAGCGCGCTTCCTTTTCCCGCCTTCTCAAAATCGCGATGTACACGGACGGACCGCCATAGGCTACCTAGAGCGGATTTCGTATGACTGTGCAAAAGAACGGATCACAACATAGGCTACCCAACTATTGCTTGAGAGAAAGAAAAGAATGAATGCGCACGCTTTTACGCTTTTATATTATGTTATMGAATCGGCGTGCGCTGTGGGTTACCTGTGGTATTACGTCACTATCGCGCGCCTCGCGGGATACAAACTAGTCTGTGACAAGGTATGAAACACTGGTCACGTGACAAATATAATTTTGCTCCTTTTTCACCGAAAATCAGCAGAAAAGGACAATTTTCGTTCAAATAACAATACATCGCCAGATTTCCTAACTATCTCATGATTTTTAGTCTGAAATTTTTATTACATGAGGAGAAAATGAACGTTAAGCATTTTACTCGTCGTGGACCGATGTTTGCCCCAGGCAGCTGGGCATAAGATCTGAAACTATTGCGTCATCATCGGAAACCGAGCGGACTTCCAACTCGTGAGATTGTCGAGAACTATCGTGAACCATCGAGACTTTCACGGAGTATT